GCCACCGCAATCTTGCCTGCTGGGCTCCGGCGAGCCTTCCGCCTCAGCCTTCCGAGTAGCCGGAACTACAGGCCCGCGCTACCACGCCCGGCTGATTTTTTTTTTTTTTTATTTATTGTAAAGATGAAGTCTCGCTGCCCAGGCGGGTCTCGAACCCGCGGGCTCAGGCAATCCACTCACCTCAGCCTCCCAAAAGGCCTCCACCTTTTAAACTCATCACACTGGGCATCAGGTTTCACCATGAATCTGAGGGTAACACAAACATTTGGTCTGTAGCATTATCACAAAGCCCGAAGAATTCAGCTTGGACTTAAGGTAGTGCTTGCTCCTTTCTGGAGAATCATGACTGGTGCTTTCTGTAGGTATCAGTTAGGGTTTGGTCAGGAGGACAGAAATCATGCATCATTTTGACAGACATAATTTAATGAAAAGAATTGGGTAAACAAATATTGGAGAATGGAGAAGAGAAAGCTGAGGTTTCAAGGAGGTAGAATTGTGGAATTAGTTACTACCAGCTGTCCTGGTACCTGAGAAGCTCAGAGGGTGGCCCTTCAGCCCCATAAGGTGCCCAGAATTCTAAGGAATAAAGTAGATGACATCACAGCCACCGGATTCTCATGTATCTGAGGAAGCATGATGGTTCTGGGCATATAGAAAAAACCTGGAATCAGGCGGGCGCAGTGGCTCATGCCTGTAATCCCAGCACTTTGGGAGGCAGAGGGGAGAGGATTGACTGAGCTCAGGGGTTCAAGACCAGCTTGAACAATATGGCAAGACCTCGTCTCTACAATAAATCTAAAAATCAGCCGGGCATGGTGGCACATGCCTGTAGTCCCAGCTCCTTGGAAGGCTGAGGTGGAAGGATCTCCTGAGCCCAGCAGATGTAGGCTGTGGTGGCCGTGAGCATGCCACTGCCCTCTAGCCTGGGTGACGGAGTGAGACTTTGACTCAAAAAACAAAGAAAAAAAGAAAAAAACCTGGAATCTACTGCTGCTATCAGGGTGAAGAGTTAGGTGATCCTGACAGGAACCGCAGGCAAATAGAACGGAGTCGCTTCTCCCTCAGTTTTCCTCTAGAACCTTCCTCTCTACTGGCAGAATTTCTTTTTTTTTTTGAGTTGAAGTCTCACTGTCGCCCAGACTGGAGTGCAGTGGCCGCTCCCGGCCACCGCAGCCTCAACCTGCTGGGGGCTCTGGCGATCCTTCCGTCTCAGCCTTCCAAGTAGCTGGAACTACAGGTGCGCGCTACCACGCCTGACTAATTTTTGATTTGTTGTAGAGATGAGGTCTCGCCTGCCCAGGCGGGTCGCAAACCCACAGGCTCAGGCAGTCCACTCACCTCAGCCTCCCAAAGGTGCGGGATTACAGGCTGAGCCACCAAGCCCATCTTCTACTGGCAGAATTTCAAGGAGAAATACAGTTGTAGATTACTCAGTCTTCTTTTTTTTTTTGTCTCACCACAACACATTTATTATTGTACAGTTCTGTAGTTCAAAAGTCAGAAATGAGTCCTATAGACTCAATAAATATTGGCAGAGCCAAGCTCCTTCTGGAGGCTCTTTAGAGAATCTGTTTTCTTGCTGTTCCAGCTTCTGAGAACTATCTTCATTTCTTGGCTTATTTCTTGGTCTCTTTCTCCATCTCAAAGTGCATTGCTTTGACGTCTGCTTGGACGGTCACATCTTCTCTCTCTAGAGCCCCAATCTTATATATTCACAAAGTAGAATATAGAAAAGTGGGTTTAGGCTGGGTATGCTGACTCACACCTATAATTCCAGCTCTTTGGGAGGCTGAGGTGAGAGGATCACTTAAGGCCAGGACTTCAAGACCCACCTGGACAACATAGCAAGACCCCTGCCTGTAAAAAAATTTTTTAAATCAGCCGGACATGATGGTACACATCTGTAGTTCCAGCTACTCAGGAGGCTGAAGCGGGAGGATTGCTTGAGCCCAGGAGTACAAGGCTGCAGTGAGCTATGATTGCACCACTGCACTTCTTCCTAGGTGACAGAACAAGACCTTGTCTCAGAAAAAAATAAAGATGGGCTTGGATCTGAGAGGTGATAGCTTAGTAATCAGCACAGTCCATCCATTTGGCTTCTCAGCATCCACACTTACCCTTCTACATATACTTAAACTTCCACACGAGAACTGTTACAACTTTAAGCTTTCACCCAGCAAGATACAACTAACCTTCATCACAGATAAGGACTTTCTCATATGTTCCTCAAGTAGGAAGACACAGAGTCCCAGCGGTCATTGTCCATGCTTAGGTGATTATCAAAGTATATATTTCTAGGCATGCTTATTACCTGCAAATTCCTTTAGAGTCCCGTCTAAATAGTCTCTACTACCCAAGATAATTGAAAGCTGAGAAAGTAGAGAAAATGTTCCCTCCTACCCAAAAGAATTGCTATGCACAAATGTTCATGGCAGCATTATTTGTAATCATCAAAAGGGTAAGCATCCCAAATGTTCATCGGTGGCTGAATAGATAAACAAAATGTTGTCTAACCATATGAGAGAATGTACCTGGCTCTTTTTTTTTTTTTTTTTTGAGTTGGAATCTCACTCTGTCGCCCAGACTGGAGTGCAGTGGCCGCTCCCGGCCACCGCAGCCTCGACCTGCTG